AGAGGATAAGCTAGTTGCTAGGTTCACTGTGTGTTGCTGAGGTAATGACAAGCCCGCTGAGTCGTTTTGCCTGGCTAGACTGTGTCCTTGAATTCTGAGAGTGCCTCTTTCTTGCCTGGGTGGAGAATAGAGGGCAGTGTGTTTGTAGAAGCTAGTTGATGGGTACAAATGTAGAGTCCACATTTGTTGCGCTGTTGACTTTTGCCCATGGTCCCACCCCTTACTGGTATGTGGCTCTTGCAAGGCTGCTTAGAAGGGCACGTGGCGTTTGGGCTTAAAAATGTTCCCCACTAAGGCAGTGCAGGCACAGTTGGGTGGGGGAGAGAGTTGGCAAAGCTGAAGCAGGAATTTGTCACAACCTAAACCACAGAGCCTAGGACTTGTAGATCAGAAGGTCGGCGGTTCGAATCCCCGTGACAGGGTGAGCTCCCATTGCTCTGTCCCTGCTCCTGCCAACCTAGCAGTTCAAAAGCACGTCAAAGTGCAAGTAGATAAATAGGTACAAATCTGGCGGGACGGTAAATGGTGTTTCCATGCGCTGCTCTGGTTCGCCAGCTTAGTCATGCTGGCCACATGACCTGGAAGCTGTACGCCGACTCCCTCAGCCAATAAAGCAAGATGAGCGCCGCAACCCCAGAGTCGGCCACAACTGCCCTTTACCTTTACCTTTGTTCCTCGCTTTACGTGAACATATGGGAGCCTTCAGTGAGTCTTTGGCCCAGAAACAGCTATGCATGCAGGCATATCCTAGGACCCTTTGCATGTGGATTTGAAGTTTTAATGGTAGTTAGGTGAGAGATGGGTCAGCCCTTGTGTATGTGAACTCCTGCTTGGGAGGTTTTCTGACTAGATAATCACTTTTTAGAAGCAGTGTTTTAATAAGATAGTCTCCAGTTGCATAGTCAAGTCTTTCAAACCACAAAACACATACTATATCAATAATAGCTGTACTTTTAGCACCATCTAGTGGTATTTTATTTATATTTTCTGGCGCGCTCAGTGTTCTTCCTCCTATTCTTCCACCTTACCAAGGACACAAATTAACAAAAACAAGCAAATATGTTACAAGTCAGGACTACACCATTACATAGCTGCTAGGATCTGATACAGGAGTCCCTTGTGTTCTGTGTCCTGGGAAGAATAGGTGTGGGATGGTGGCAAGCCCCACCTCCCTGCACCAATATCCTTGGTGACGCTACTTTGGAACCTCCTCAGATTTATTCAGCATTTGGGATTATATCTAGGGTGAGTCCAACTTATTCCACCCACCAAGTGTAGAAGGTAAATATTGAGCTAGGAGGCCCCAGCATGTATTTGAATTTGAGGTTTTTTCTAGGTAATCTAGTGGTTGCCTTTTACGACACTGAAGGAAGCAGAGAAAGAGTGAGGGGAGGGAGTACATAAGCCTGAAGCCCATGACCAGGCTCAGAAATTTACCTCACAGAATCATAAATGCAGGAATATGCAGCTGTCCCTTACAGGAATCGAACCAGTAACCATGCTCTAACCAACTCAGCTATCCACCTCCTTATGAACTGCCCTTAGTTTTGCCCAAATGCCAGATAATAAGCAACACGAGACCCATACAACACAAGAACCTTGAGTAGAATATCGGAACAAGCAGTTGAAGCATTAAACTGGACAGCCAACTGTACTTATAGTCAGGTAGAAAGGGGTTACCTGCCAGGAATGACACTCTGCATTACTAGCCAGGCTTAAGACTGCTGCTTTAACTTCCAGCAACCTCCCTCTTTGTACTCCTGGGGCTAAAGGAAGTAGGATAGGATAAGTTTTGTATTGCGTCTCAAATTCCAAGCAGGTTAACATATGCTCAATGGCTACTAGTCATTATGGCTATGTATTACCTCCACTTGTGGAGGTGATGTGCCTTTGGGTACTAGTTGCTGGAGATTGGGAGGTTGCTTGTTGCATGAATGCCCCCCAGGATTCCTATAAGCATTTGGTTGGCCAATGTGAGGACATAATGTTGGAGGAGATGGCCACTGGCCTGAGCCATCAGGCTCCTCTTTTGTTCTCATGACTACACAGGCCTTCAGTTTGATGCAGCAGGACTCTTCTTCTGTTCTAGATGTTGCATTTAGACAAACTGATAATACTGCTTAATCGTATTCAGTCCTCACATATTTGTAAGGTGGCATACATAGAGAGGATTTGTTTTCTTCCTTTGTGGTTATCCTAGGCAATTCTGGCCTACAAAAGGTGGTTAAAAGATAGAGACAAACTCAGTGCTAAGGAAGTTCAGCCTTCTTTGTGGGATAGTAAGGCAACAGTCCAGCTGCCTTTCCTCAAACATGCTAGAATTTAATGCTGAACACTTTGGTTCATATACTCAACCAGAGGCAATGCTGCAATTACTCAAGTACCTTGCTGAAAACCTTTTGAAAGCCAAAGTACACTGTGTCAGCTGCATTACCTCTATCTATATTTTTCTACTCTAATAGCTGTATGAGGCAGCACCTGCCCTCGGAGAAGCCATACTGGCTCTGCTTCTGCAAGTCTTGTTCTTCTATATGCTTGCTTATTTTATTTTTAACTACACCAGCTTCACCATGACAGATGTTAAGCCAACTGACCTGTATTTCCCAGGATCCCCCCTTCATCCCTTTTAAAAAATTGGTACTACATTGGCTACTTTCCAGTCCTCAGGTATGGAGGCTGATCTGAAGAGTACATATTTATGTTAGAAAATCAGCCATTTCACATGTGAGTTACTTGACAACTCTCAGGTAGATGCCAACCAGCTACGGTGATTTGCATGTCTTTATTTTGTCTGTTAGGTCTAGAACTTCATTTCCTATTAGTTCTCAGTTCCTGTTTTGTTCAGATTTTTTCAGTAAACCTTTACCAGGATTTTCACTCTGGACTGCAGTTGCATTATTGATGTGTCTCTGCTAACGGGTGCAATATACATTTCCCTAGATATCCTTTCCTTTTTGAAGTTTACTCTTTGGGTCTTCCATTATCAAAGTAGCCAGTCTCGCAAGAGCTGTGAGAGACTGCAAATTCAACAGTACAAGATCTGTGGTGCCAGGAAGAAAGTGTAAGGAATACTCTTGCTTTTTGCCTACTGAGCAGCTAATGGTGTGCATCAGTTAATGTGCAAACCATTCTGGCTCTTACAAATAGGAGGAGAGGATGCTTAAATATCATTCAGGTGGGCTGTAATCGCCTTTGTTTCACAGAACGTTGCAAAAAACAACAGGAAGTAAAGGTTGGATATTGAAAGCCTAGCGATAAAGGCCTTAAATGAGTTTGCATGCCGAGTGAAGAATGACAGGTGTCTGGAATACCTCTTAGAAGGATCTTTAGCGCAGTCCATTTTGCTGGTGAAGTCTTTAGGCTGCAATAACGCAGCTTCTTCCAAGGAGGAAAAATGAAAGTGTACATTTGCTCTCAGCAGTTATTAAAGTGGAAATGTGATGGCATTATCTGAACACTCATCAAAGGTCAAGGGAATTAAATTGGCATAAGTTAACTCCCCCCCCCCCCCGCTTTCTATTGCATGTGACTCCGACAGGGTTTATCTTTCTTTTCTGAGCTATTCCTAATAGCATCATACAGGGACCACTGTTTTATTTCTAGAAAAGAGTTGCTGGAGCTTGTCTTTTTAGAAATGTTACCCTCTGATTCAAACACACTTCTTCCTACGCACAGGAGAGCAAGTTCTACTATGTTTCATGACTGTCTCCTAGCACCTTTTCTCTAGCCACTTCCGTTTTGTAGGGCCTGAAAAGCAGAGACTTGGCTGCACAGTCCAAAATTAAGTGTAAGTTTTCCCACCAACACCTCACTTCCTGACATAGACAATAGAATGGCCCCAGTAACTGACATCTTCAGGTGACCAGAAAGTGCTCTTTATTCCCTATGGTTTCAATCTTTTCAAAACCTGATGAATGCTATATTAGAAGTACCATAAGCCCTACTTTGAAAGTCAATGAAACAGGAACCACATTTTTTGTTAGACAAGCCCAAGATAATTTCTTTCCTGGGGTGGACTTTGGTGCCCTGTGTGAGGCCAAAATTGGGTCGTCGTCCCCAAATGGATCTTCTCATTATGGATCTTCTCAGTTTTGCACCCCCGTATTTTGGCACCCTGAGTGGGGGAACATCCCACACTGTCCTAAATACAGAGCTGGTCTTTTCTTTGTGTGTCTGGAAAGCAGCCTTCTAGAACCACCTCATTCTTTTGTGATGTCGTCATCAACACTTTCTAAACTTTTTATCCTTATACATCAGGACTTACCCATGTTTGTGCGTGCCTTCAAAAACAGTTTCTTCCTCTCTGTTCTGAGTTTCTGATCACCAGCCCCCCAACATGTGCTTGTTCTTGTGGCTCCTAGAAGCTGTCAGCATGCAACAGTGGCCAGTGTCTGGGAATGGCTTCAACTGGCCTGCTAAACCAGGTGAGGATAGTCAACAGGTCTCAAACCCTCAGTGAGTTAGGGACTCCCCCTGCATGCGAAGACAGGCTCCCGCAGTTGAGTGGATGAGACCAATAGTGGGTCCAATAGTCAAGAAGCTGGTTTTTGCATGTACTGTAGGGGAAAGTGAGGGACAGATGGAGCTTGTGAACGTGGGAAGGTAACCCATTTAGGAGAAGGAAAACTCTGATCCTAAACTCCCACTGCTCTGTGGGATATCTTTAGGAGAATAAAAGGCTATATCCAGAGTGGGAATCCAGAGCCTTTTAGAAGGTTGGCTGGTGCCTTGCAAGCTTCCTTCGTGGAGCCAAGCTGGTGCCAAACATGTTGCTTTCCTTTCCTTTGGGCCACATCAATGAGGCTGAGAGGGGGCTATTGTTGTCTGGGCAGGACCTCCATACACACTGCCCAGGCTTGCACCCTCGGTAGGTCACTTTGGTACTGCTAATGCTGTGGTTTGACCCCTGGGGGCACAGTCCATTGTTTCTGAAGACAGAGAGATGAGATGCCTACAACATTTATCTACTTGTACTATTAAACTCAAACAAACAAGTGATGTTGTTTTCATAGTAAAGATGTCTTTATTCCAAAATAATAATGTGTTAGCCGGACAACTACATACAAAACATCTACACAAGACTTTGGTAAGAAATATATCCATGACAGCTTTCTCAGAAATTCCATAGTGAACCAAAAAAAAAAAAAAAAAAAAAAAAGAACCAACAACAAAGAAAACATAAAAACAAAAAGGCCTTTTTTGTTTTTTTAAAAAACCAAGTTGCTTTTATTAAAACCTATTGTACATATAAGCCCCCTAACATTTCTGTTTCATTGCTTGTAAAGTTTCTACAGATTATGTAAGAAAATGAAATACAGAGAATGTTAATAAATGGTAAGTGAGGTGTATAAAATTCCTAGATCTATACCTGTGCTTTTGGTTCCAGAGTGTGCAACAGGCATGAATTATTGTACAAGATAAGAAGTGTGGTCTATTGTTGGCTGATTTGCAACAAATGTTACACTACTAGTAGGTTTACAGTAACTTTGCAATAATGCTATGCATTCTGTGTCACTTTGGGATTCATTTCTTTAATAGAAAAATCAACCTTAAGAGTCTCTATCAAGCTAAAATTAGGTGTGATTAACAGCACAATCATACACATCTCTACCTAGAAGTAAGTCTCATGACTTCAGTGGACTTACTCCCAGGTCAAGTGTGTATAGCATTGCAGTCTTAGTCCCATTAAAACCAATGGAACAAGGTAGTCCTAATTAAATTTCCACTAAAAGTGATTAGCTGGATTGGGGCCGTTCTGTTTTTCATTCATTTTTCATTTCTTTTCTTTTTTAAAAAAAGCATTATCATTATTACAAAAAGTAATGATTCCCACCACTATTTGGATCAAATTAGAAGAAATTTGTCAATGTGGACTGGGACAGCTATATTATCAGGTGATAGAACAACCAAATTTTCTTCAGCTGCAAGCTCTTTCATGCTTTCGAATCACAATCCTTTGAAAAGTCAGCCAACCAAGCAAAATACTATTAGATATTAAAGAAATTACAAGCAACTACACAGAGCTGCTGCTGTGTCAATCAAGTACTGGGGACAGTGAAAGTCAAATCATTAAGTTCATGGAAATTCTTACTGAGTTCAGTAGAGCCAGCACTCTTTCTGGGACAATTACTAGCATTTAATACAAGCACAGCGTAGAAGAATCAAAAACATTTTAATGCAGGGTGTTTTGTTTTTTTGCAAGTAAATGCAACTGGGCATACTCCAGCGGTTACATATTTCATGCATATTTTGACTGAATAAGTATATAATGTGAGGAAGTTAATGCATAATTCATTGAAGCAAAACATAATTGAATCTTAGATATCTGAAAACCAGAGACACAAAAATTAGCACCAGCCTAATCTCGTGCATTAACTCATAAGTGTGCTTGCCCTTTCAAGACATTTCTGCTCGGCGCCTGTGCTGAAGGCCCTCCTGAATTTTCCCTGGTTCTTCCCTTCCTTGCCCATTGGCCCTCAATTGCTTTGGGTGGCTTTGCACTGGAAGTGACTGGCTACTCAGTGCAAATGGTACATGAGAAGACACTCACAACCACAATGAACTAACTGTGAAGATGGTGTGTCTCTGGGTCTTGAGTATAGAGACAGGGATGGGAAAGGCTTATGAGAAGGAATATAGTGAGGATTTGGGAGGCGAGGTGCACTTTAGCTCTAGAAAAACAACACTGCCAACCTTTTGAGATTACGTTAATTTTTCTTATGAGGCATTCAATGAAAGGACATATATTTATCTTGAATAAAGGACCTCTTTCAAAGTGGCTATGGTGACTGTGGTAAAAAAGCTAAGAGCCTAGCTCCTCAGATTTCTGCTTAGCAACCCCACAGACACCCAAATGGCAGATTCTGAAACAAAGTTTGGATTATACATAGAAAAGTGATGTTATTTCTAGCTGACCACACATGTCTTCTGAGGTGAATCCTTTCTGGAATAGTTACAAATGAGACCTTTTAAGTTTCCATGTATAATGAACCTGTGGTACCCTTTCAAAAAGACACCCCGAGTGCACCAAATATTATGTTGGAAGAGGTGTTTACATTTTCCCAGAGCTCAGCGGTCAGTCTTAGGTGAATCTCTCTGTGTCAAAAACAATAAAATGTGTTTTTTCCCCTTAGGGTGCCAACACACTGTGCTGCTGTTTATAAATGCTGCAGCTCTGAAAGGGGTACAAGATCATTAATGTCAGCAGTTACATGACAAATTGAAAATGAAACCTTGTGGAATTTTGGAGCTGTGTGCAGAATTCATTCCTTTTCTGCAATAGTTGGAGGTCCCTTACCTCTAGACGGCTGGTGGCATCACCCTGCATGTCATTTCATTCTGAGACCACTGCCTGCAACAATATCATTATAGTTTTGGGGACTCTCTAATTTGACTCAGTCCCTTTTGGACTCTGTCCTTGTACAGGATTACGTTTGGCATAGAGAACTGAAGATAATGCAGAAAGATGCCCTCCTTTTTATACTGTGGTTTTTAACTGCTGATGATTTACAGAACACTCTAATATATTACCTGAATCTTTCTCTACACCTCTTGACATTCCAGGGAAACTCACCGATGCCTTATCTTTCGGAAATGTTTACAGCCTCATGACCAGATGAGCCACACTGGCAAAATGACATTGCATGCATGCTTCTTCCCTCTCCCACACTAATCCCACATTCCTCTGCACGCAAGATGAATACAGACTTCGTTAATACTGGGAGTCATTTGCCCAGTACATCAAAATGTTACTAATAATCCATGCACTTGTTCATTATTGTGGTAGACTTGAGCTTGCTCCTTAAAATTATTTATATAACCTCTAGAGTTTGTTGTTGCCTTTTTCATTGTTGTATCTTTCTGAAGCTTTGGCAATTGAAAGTAGAAACACATGAACATACAAGGTATTTCTGTAAAGGTACGTAGAGAACGGCTGGCATTTTCAGCATTTTTTTCTAGTTTGGATTTTTGCACACTGAACACAAGTTGTGTTCTCCACAATTATACTGGCTATATTAGGGGCAGGTAACTGAATCCCTATCCTTTGGGCCCAGGTTGCAGCTACACCTTGGCTCTTAAAAGTTCAGCCCTTCCCTGCTTTTCTGCCATGGCACACGCCAGCCAATATTGGGTTTTATGAGAGAGATGGTGAATGATTTAATTCAAGGCATTTGCCTTGCCTGTTACAGTACGCCATAGTTGTGTCTGTAATGCAGTCCCACATTTTAGACAGAAATGTAGGAGCTTTCTGCTTCATCCATGGGTGTTCCTAAGGACCCACTTACTGACCCCAGCCCCCTTTCAATGGTCCTTACTCCACTGTCCAACTTCCTATTGGAGCTGTACTTTTTGCATTTATACTAATATATAATACCAGCACAACCACAACTGTCTCTCAAGACAGTTACTTTCTTCTGAAAATATATGCCAGAAATATGGCAGCCATTACTGGAAAGCTAGTAAGAGAATAAGGAGAAACAAACATATGATATATGCTGCCTGTGACAATCACATCAGGGTAACAATACCTCTGCCAGGTGATGGAGAGAGAAAAATGGAAGCTTTGTGACTGAAACTAGCAAAAGCTGCTTTGGGAGTGATGCGGAGAAGCTTCTTCCCCTTCTTCCTTCTTGGAATTACTTGGTAGAGCAAGGTTTGAAGCTCTGATGCTGAGGACCTTCACCTCTGCAGCAGGCATCTAAACAACACCTTGTATATTTATGCTAGCCCAACTCTTAGAAGGCAATGGCTTCCCCTGAAACTACTGAGATCTGTTTGGTTCTGATCCCCAGGCAAGGATAATCTCCAAATCAGAGATGAGTGAGGCTGGCTAGGACTGATGGAGTGCAGCAACATCTGGAGTGCCGCAGGTTCCCCATCCCTGATGCAATTGAGTGCCTACTTCCCTGTATCTTACCACTTCTCACTTGTGGCATTTCAGATGCTGCTGGACTCCACTTCCCATCAACCCCCTAGCCAGAATGGCCAAAGCTTGAGGGATGATCAGAGCTGTAGTCCCACAACTTATGGCAGTCACAAGTTCCTGTCTGGTGGTCACAGGATGTGCTGACGTAACATCTGACATGGCAAATGTGAATAGTGTTCTTACTTAGAAGCAGCCCAACAGTTAATTTGTGGCCTTCAGACAGAAAGTGTTACCATTTGTTCTATTCACATGTGAACAGATTAAATTTGCTTTCCCTTCTGAAAGTGGGAAGGAAGAAAATATGCTTTATTTTGTAGCGGTCCCTACCGAAGGAAAAAGAAATGTCTCACAGGATTGCTATAAATACAAATTTAAAAAGATAACTATGCACCTGAAGTATTATTGAACCAGCATTATTGAAGAAATTCCTTGGCACAGTTGTGTAATCACAGAGGCACTGCTTTGAGTATTTTGAAACTGGATCCAAATAGGTATTTATGTTTGCAATGTAATTTATGCATGCATCCTGTGTATTTACAGGTAATATTTCTATGATTATGGTATGTTCACACAGAGATGTCTATAATTTCAAAGTTATTAGGAGTTCACAATGACTTCACTATTTTTATGCATTAAGGGCTAGCTGGAGCATCAAGGAGCCACTCTCAGCATACATTTGTGAGGAAATATTTATAAAATATATCTCTTGCACCAGCAAGACTAATAAGCAAACCACACTGCAAAAATGAAAACTAATATACACAATTTATATCTTCTTTTAAAAAAAAATCAAACCAAGGTTGATTTTACATTTAGCTCAGAGTGCATTATTTGAAAGACTCAGGTTTTGCTAACACGGATGAACATTGCAGGCTCTTAATTCCTTCTTGTCTTTGCAACTAGTAAACTGAGTGCTTTTGAATCTCTTCTTGACTGTCATGAACCTCTCCTGGATTCCACCCCCACACAGTTTGGTACATTCTGACCAAGCAGTCCATGGTTTCATCTTACAACCTAAAATTAAAATAAAATAAAAGCATGAAGGTCAATACTTTGTGTGAAAATTCTCTCTTCTGTACACTTGTTTTGATTTCTGTTCTTAACTTCAAGCTTTTAAAATATCATGGTTAGATATATAAATAATTCCACAGGTCATTCGGCATGTTACCTTGAGAAATAGTTTATACTTTTGGAAATTCCTCGTGAATATCTGTGGCTCATGAGTCTATCTCAACTGCCATATCCACACAATGGATCTTCTGAGTGGCAGGTGTTGCCCATGTGAATAGGCTGCTCTTACAAATGCACAAGGGACTGCAGTAGCCCTACCTAGTACATTAACTGGGCCCCTTCTATTAAATAGATAGGACGAATGACAAACAGAAGCAGAGGATTGAGGCTATGGAATGTACTCCCATTCTACATTTCAGAAAAGGTGCTTGGAGCCAGCTAAGTTTTATTCAGAGTAGACCCTTCAAAACTAATGGTCCTAAGTTTGACGTGACTTGAAAAATTAATGGATCTTTCTGAGTATGCCTGAAGTGGGATAAAACCCAAAGTTTCAAAACTGGGTGTCTGGAGCTTAGTATGTGTTTTATTCTGTTTTGTGTTTATTCTGAAATTGGTTTAAATCATGTTGTATTTTCTTTATAATTTTTTTTGGGGGGGCTGTGCATTAACCATTCCTGTGATCTCTGGGGGACCAGTTCAGAATCTATAAATGACTTCAGAATAAATAAACAAACTAGCATTGTAGTCTAGGGTTGTGTGCCTGTTTGCTCCCCTTTTAACCAGTTTTTGGTGGCACAACAGTTCCAAGCAACGTCTACAACACATACCTGGAAATTGCTCGCCATCTACATCTTCTTTTGCCTGCTCACTTCTCCTTTTTTCACGAGGCTCTTTCCACCGCCGTTTCTCAATATTGGGATTTCTCAAGCATTTCCTTATCCGGCATTTTTTACGCTGTACAGTTTCTGGGCACGAAGCTCCTCCAAATTGGGGTTCCATTTTGATCATCCTTGTCCTGATCATATGGCCTTTCCCACAAGATTTGTTGCATTCTGACCACTGAGACCACTCTGTTAACTCACAGTCAATGGCTACACAGACAGAACAAGAAAGACTGCCATGAGCATCAAGCTACTCAAACAAATGAAGTTAAGGAACAATGTCAATATGCTCTGATAGTGGCACCGAAAAGCAGGAAAATTCCCTGATGGTCTCAGAGCAAATTTTATAGCCGCTCTCCACTCTGGTGTCCTACAGATGCCAGTGGACTACAACTCCCATCATCCCTAGTCATGCTAGCTTAGGAGCACCAACTTGGGGAAGGCTGTTTTATAGCAACACAGAACCTAGATCATCTTCTTATAATTATGTTTTGAGAATAAGCTCAAATTACTCCACTGGGGACTTACTCTCCATCTGTGGCGGCCTTTCATTGTCCAGGCAGAAATGAATATGGAAGCGGTGAAATGCTCGTCTTTAGAGCACACAGATCCAGAGGCTGTTTTTGCACCACTTCAGACAACAGTCACATTCTGTTCCTTTTGCAGACACAGAGATGCCTGAGAATCACAGGGATTCCCAACAAGGCACTGTTATTCTCTCCCCCTACACTCTTTTCCTCTACTTCCCACTGTAATGAACCAACCCATTACTTTGAACTCATTCATGCCTCCTATGGCAGAATCCAGTGGCACTCTCCTCCTCAGAGCCCCAGAATGCAGGCTACTTGGATGCCTAGTGGGAATAACCTGGATCTTTGGAAGGGTAAAATCTTTCCAAGAATTTAAGTGGCACTTGGCTCTATAATGGAACACACTTGTGGGTGGGCAGAGTTAGGAGACCAGAAGCAAGGTTGGGGAGCCGAAACAGAAAGATCCTGCAGTCATCACCATTTGAAAGCTGGGATGATCTAGCAGTTAAAAGTATGAGCTATCTTTTGGGAAGTCTCTAGTTCAGGGTGGGGAATCTTTTGGGCTCCATGGGCCAAATCTGACAGGGGGTGGGGCTGCCCACCTGTCAACCATCTGACATCAGAACGAGTCAGGGGCTTGGGCACTTTTGAAGCCTTGAATTTGGGATGTCAAAACACCAGGTACAGCTGATCCAGAAAGCTTCATTTCTACTGTTGATCAGCAGGTGGGCAGTAGAACCGAAGCCTGCTTTCTGCAGGCATCAGGTGTGTGATAGAACTAGCAGTAGTTCTGCATCACCATTGCAAACACTTTTCAGCAGCAAGGAAGGCCTTTCATAGGCTCTCCAACATTGACACAGAAGAAATCATTCTCTATTTGTGATCTCTGCAATAGAATTAGACATTCTACCCTTGTGTCAGGAGCTGCTGATATCTGTGCCCTGTGTGGTGACAGCTTCTAAAGTGACAGCTTATAAGCAAAGTATCTTCAAGCCTTGGACTGACTCTGCCCACTCAGCCAAGCCTTATTCAATCAACAAGGTCTTCTTGAGCAGGGTGGTCTTTAGCATATGAGCTGCTGGGGTGCAAAGACCCGCCCAGCGCCCCCAAAGTGGTTGACCTATTTTTAGGGGGGGGGTGAACTCAAGGGGTTGTTGAGCTTTTTTGGGAATGGGGAATCACTCACTTGTAACAACAACGCAGCAGGAAAAACCTGCTTTTGTTTCCTGACCACTTGGGAATATATGATGCTACAAAGTAACAGAGCAATGGAGGAGGGGGGTGGGGACTTCCGCTCCATTGCTTTTCACTGCCGCAAATCAAGAGGGACTGGTATACAGCGCCCCCCCCCCATAATTCAGCGCCCGGGTGCCCCACACCCCTTGCACCCCTGGGTAAAGACGGCCCTGTTCTTCAGCTCTCTAGCTCTTGTTATTTGGTACTGATTTCTGCCTTGCTCCTTGATTTCCGCCTTCTCATTTGTCCTTTGGGCCTGACTTACATCTTTGTCCCAGATCTCCATGTTCCCACGTCCTTGCCCATGTCAGTCTGCTTGTCGATGACCCTGCCCTGACAGCTTGTGTGGAAATGGTGCTTTGGCAATGCCTGTGTAGCTGTGCATCACCGCTCTTGACTCAAGACTATGATCAGGTTAGGAGTAGCACTTTGTCAAAGCAAGCAGAATGACCACATTTCTGGCCAAGCAGCATGCTGAATAGGAAAGAAGGGGAAGGGAAACGGCAACCTGGCCTTCAGACTCCAGACATCGGTACTTACGGCACTCGGGCAGCATGCACTTTTCTACTTGCTCCAGCTCCTCATTGCAGTCTCCAAGCTCTGCTGCAGATTTCAGCATTCTTTGTCGGGTCCTCATCCCCTTCCCACATGTTACGCTGCAGTCACTCCATTCAGACCAAGGAGACAGCATACAGGGAATGGTATCTAGCGCAAGGGAGAAAGATTGACTAGCTCACAGCCAGGGTTTAATTTCAAAGTGTTGTCCAACCACTTGGAAAAAGGTGGAGGACAGGGCCAATTGGTAGAGACAGGATTGGTACTGTGGGAGGATCTTGCAATGGAGGAGGACCCTTATTGGCTCAAATCCATATTGACTACCAGGGTGCAAACACCAGTGACCCCATCACCCCATCTTTCTCACTTGTGGGGCAAATGAGAAATTGCAATCAGCTCCCCAGTCTCTCTTTTTTCCATCTTGGGAGCAGTCTGTCCTCACCCTGAATTGGCTCAGGGCTGTGAGGGGACAGAGTTAACCCATCTCCCCTTTGCTATTTCTCCAATTTAAATGGCAGCTGCTTTTGCCAAGAAGCTCAGTTCAACTGGAACTCTACATGTGCCCTGAGAAAACGAGTTTACTTTAACATAGCTTTGAGCAATGAGTACATCACCAGTGTAAGGAATCAGAGAAAGCTACAGTTCAAGTATCATTGTAAGCCCCAGTGGCTTCCACCAAAGAGGTTAGAGATCATACAGCACTGGAAAACTCTGGACACATTTACATCCAGTGGTTGAATGACTATGGTGTGCAAACTGGCACAGCATGGTATGTTTACTCTACAATGCAGCTTCAGTAAGGAGGAGATGAAGCAAGATACCTTTGTAAATACTTATACATTGATTTAGGGGCCCCAAGATTAGTGTGTCCCCCCAAAGCTTTTAAAAAATCATTTTGGATAGTTTGGTGCCCCAGATTGCTAATAGTATTGTATCAATGAAGATGCATCTATGGCTCTTTGTTGTGATTTTGAATGTATTTCATGAAACATGAAATGATTATTTTTCTAAAGTCAGGTCAAATGAATTCATTCACCCATGCTAGAATGTGGTATTTGTTAGGCTTTCTTGAAGGAAATTGTTACATGTGCCAATGAGAAAATGTACCAAGAGAACGGGTTGGGGAAATCCAGGAATAATTCAGTCAAGAGAGTGAACTGAGGAGAACAAAGTCCAGAGTTAAAGTGACACTGGCTAGGCAGGCAATGGAGCCTGAGACAATGGATATTTTCACACCTCGTAAAGTCAGGTCAGCATCAGTTCACACCACTACGGTTTCCTGGGGCTGGTTTCATGATGTGTAAAAACAGTAAACAAGGGTGACTGGCATGATGCGGGTGGCACACAGCTGCTTGCACTCCCTGATGATTTTTATAGCCTGGAGATGGCTAGTCCTCTAGCCACCCAATGGTGCTGTTTATTCTTTTACAAGACTTGAAGTCAATCCATTGAGACCTCACATTAGACTGATTTATGGGTGATTTCATAACATGCAAAGGTTCACTGGACTGAGTACATAAATCACAGTGACAGGAGAGGCTTGAGAGATACTAATTAATGTTAGCCTCAGAGCCATTTGGTACATTACGTATTAGCATGTGCCTGTACATACTTCAGAATAAGAATTTGAAGGCTATATTCTGCAGCATATGTTTAATGCATGCTTATCCTGCGTGGAGCTCTCCTTTCAACTTGAGTCTTCAGACCAATGTTGTATGAAATGGTCCATACATGGGGAAATGCAGTTTTGTCTCTAGTGAACTGATTTATGGTCCCATTAATATATGCACGAGAGCCAGCCAAAACCTATAAAACAGGCAGGAGCAGTCCTATAGATGTACAGCTGATGGGGTTTTTTTTCATACCGTGGTCAGATGAACATAACTGAGATGAATATTGATTCTACAAGGTGAATAATTTTGGCTGCAGAAGAAATCAGAAGCAAATGGTTTTCCAAAACAGAGATCTGGAAGGCTATTTCAAATCAGTACCTTACCCCTGCAGATCCTGCTCATGTGAACCTCCTCATCTGTTCAGCCTATTCCTTATCTGTTTCAGGGGATTCTGGGGGTTATTTTTGCCTATCATTCTCATCCTTCTGGCCAGTTCCCCTTGCCCTCATTTCTCTGGGTCCCTCCATATTTCAGCCCTGTTGCCCTGGGCCTGACTTCTTCATTATAAAGGTTTTTGACCCTTCCATCTGCCCTGCCCTAGTCTAGGATTAGAGGGCAGGTATAAAAATGCAGCAGAATGGGGTAGTGGAGTTGGTTGCACCATTTCAGGCTTAACTGGTGGCACTGTGGGTCAAACACCCTGGGGTTGCTGGCTCCAGCTGAAGCATTCAAACCACAGCCCATAATCTTCCTGGCCAAGGAAATTATCTGAAGATAGTGATGTAGAAAATGAATGCCTAGATTAAGAATATCCAGCATACGTCATGTTACAGACTTGACTTCAAATCTGAGTTAAAGTGGTATATTTTACTTAAGTGCACTCTATAATCACATGGAACCTCCCTGCTAATACTATTAAAGGTGGCTTTGCTGAAAGGAATCACACAACTTTCCATCTCAAACAAGTGCTCTTTTGTGCAGCCCAAGAAAAGAGAGACGAAGTCAATAATGGCAGGTTTTGCATTTGAAGCTTTAAAGCTGCCAAACAAATGGGATTAATCATCAAAAGACAAAGGAATTTTGTAGGATGTTGCAATAGCTATTTAAAGTAGTTTAGACTTTAGAGAAGAGAGAAAGCACATCCCCGGTGCCAAGGCCGCTTGGGATGCTGAAGTCTTTGCAAATCCTTATGCAAAAGGACCTGGACTAACATGCAGGGCAGATGTTAGCCATCTGCTGAGTTTGAACCTCTCTGAATATTGTGACACAGTATGCATTTAATACATAATTTGAAGATGGGGTGTGTGTCACAATTTAAATACATACGTTTTAAGAGAACCGTTTTCATAATTTTTAATATGTAGTTTGAGATGAATTTTTAATATTGAAGATTAATGTGGAAATGGAATAGAATTATGGGTAAAAATATGTGAAAGGGGCACGTACCCAAAACAGGCCAGTTCATCCCTCCCTAACTTTAGGCCACATGGCTACGCAAGAAGCATCAGCTCAGTTGCCTGCCCAGTGAGGGTGCATTCTTTCTTCCACCTGCAAATTTGCTTGTCTCTGAGTATAACAAGCTGTGGTTGAGCCATCTCAAGGCGGGGAGACATGTCACTTTCCCACACAGTGACTGGGTGAATCTCAGATACTTACGGCATTCGGGCATCATGCATTTCTCGGCTTCCGTGGTTTCTGCCTTGCACATGGATCCGTCTGCTGGGGTCATCTTGATCATCCGGTGCCGTTTCTTCATTCCCATCCCACAGCTGGCACTGCATTCATCCCACTCCCCCCATTCCGTCACCAGGCAGGTACTAGGAGCTATTGATAACAATAGGCAGAAAGAAGATCAGTCTACTGGCACTCGTTTAATAGAGGGATCACAGGCAGCTCTTATGCTGATTCAGCGAGGTAGGCTAAATCAAATACTTACAGCACTCCTCATTCACAATGCACTTCTCGGTCTCTTCTGTGGGTACTTTGCATATAGAGCCATCGTCAGGGAACTGCTTCACATATCTTTCTCTCGACCGCATTCCCATGCCACAAGAGACGCTGCAGGGGGACCACGTTATCCACTCGGACATCATACATGTGGAGCCATCTAAAATATAGAATACAATTGCCATTTCTTTTCTAAGTCTCACCTGGATGTGGGGTGGGTGGGAAGAGAAGCATACCTTTATCTCAACCCCCCCTTCTTCTCTTTCCTACCTTCATCACTGCAGCCTGGGCCCATGCATGGCTGAAAGTCCTGCGTTTCTGGGCAAGGCACACTGAGGTCAAGCTGAGCTTTGAGCATCCTCTGCCTCATCCGCTTGCCCTTTTCACACGTGGAAGAGCTACAGGCTGACCATGGGGACCAGTTGGAATAGATGCAGGTTTCTGGAGTGTCGTCTAAAAGAAAAAAGAAACAGTTACTCACATGGTGCATAATAATTACCCTATGGAACTCAATGCCATAGGATATTAAGACAGCCACCACCATCACAAATGACTTTCCAAAGGACAACCAAGCCCAGGGATGAATTTCGCTGATACCCCCATTTATCTCTTGTGCCTTCTGTTTTCTTGATCTTCTCACATCTCGTTCATTTATGAATACTTCTCGCCATAGGCTATCTGGCATTCTCAGCCATGTACACAGGTGCTCACAGAGCATCTTAGACTAGCCACTCAAATTATTTTGCATGCAAACACACACATGTTTTCAGTGTAACATTGCCAGCCAATCAAAGTATCCCACTCAAATAGGTCAAGGGGTTTTAAAAACAAAAGCAAAACTCTTCTACATGCCTCCTAGTGTGATATCATTTCACTGGGTATGCCAGGGATTGAAGCTGGTACTTTCTGCAGGAGGAACATGAGGGGCATCTCTACAAAGCATCCTTCCATATGGAATGACAGCCATGCTCTTTTCTACCAGTTTTTGAGTTGCCTGGTATGACATGTTGCTCACTTATTCTGCATGTCAGTTTACAGCTTTGAAGACATCTAGAAGACTGCATACAGAGGCATATTAAGTGGCTATTCCACAGTAATGGAGAAGCCAGAACATCTTCCAGTAGAATTTAATGAAAAATCTTCCTGTTTAGTCTGCCTTTCAGCAGCTATTTCCTGTTATGCTGCTCCATGCTCAAACAGTACAGGACAAGTTAGCAGTTGCAGCATAGTGCTAAAGAAGATGGGAGGGCTGGAATTTCACTTCATTTATTTATTGACTGAAGTGTTTATAATCCACACTTTCACAAAAGTATAACAAGGCAGTATGCAAGATTATAATAAATTCAGTAAAAGCACCAGTGAAAATATCATTAGGAACATCAGTTGATTGAAAAAGAAAATCAGATTCCCAAGGCTAGTCTTTACAAGACAGTTTTCAGATGCTGTCTGAAAAATGGCCGAGATGATTCCTGCTGGACCTTCTACATGGCAAGGAGTTCTGCAGCACAGGGGCTGCCACACTACAAGCTCAATCCCATAGGAAAGGCCAACTGAACTTCAGTAGTGTGTGAGGAACCACCAGAACTGTCCCAGCAGAAGATCTCAATGATCAAGGTAGGGCTCAGATGATCCTTAAGACATTTTGGGCTCAAGTTGTTTAGGGCTTCGTGGATTAACACTAAACCTTGGAACCTGGCCTAGTAAAGGTAAAGAACCCCTGGACTGTTAAGTCCAGTCAAAGGCGACTATGGGGTTGTGGCGCTCATCTCGCTTTCAGGTTGAGGGAGCTGGCGTTTGTCCAAAGACAGCTTTCCAGGTCATGGGGCCAGCATGACTAAACTGCTTCTGGTGCAACAGAGCACCTTGATGGAAGCCAGAGTGCATGGAAATGCCGTTTACCTTCCCACCGCAGTGGTACCTATTTATCTACTTGCACTGGCATGCTTTTGAACTGCTAGGTTGGCAGGAGCTGGGACAGAGCAACGGGAGCTCACCCCATCACGGGGATTCGAACCGCGACCTTCTAATCGGCAAGCCCAAGAGGCTCGGTGGTTTAGACCAATGTTTCCCAACCTTGGGCCTCCAGCTGTTTTTGGACTACAACTCCCATCATCCCTAGCTAGCAAGACCAGTGGTCAGGGATGATGGGAATTGTAGTTCAAAAACAGCTGGAGGCCCAAGGTTGGGAAACACTGGTTTAGACCACCTGCGTCCTACCTAGCCTAGTATCAAATTGGCAACTAGTGCAATTCTCTTAGCACTGGAGTAACATGTTTCCAGCAACCTGCTCCTCTAAGCAGTCTGGTCCCTGCATTTTGCACTAGTTGAAGCTTCTGGACCAGATAAAAAGGGCAGTACTGAGAAGTCACACAGTCAGACGATGGCCAAAGTCATTCAGATATTTAAGTTTTTTAAAAAGGCAACCTGCTCTACAAGCAATTCTGAAATATAGGCTTGTAAATGTGCAATTCTAATGAGTTTTCAAAGGAAAAGAAACCACAGAAATTACTTGCATCCTAGACAAAAGTAGAAAAAGGCACAAATGACAATGAGGCAATTAACTTTTGAATTTAAGAGATAACACCCTTTTTTACTTTTGAAAACAAACTCCATAATCTCTACGATACTCGATTTAAGATACTAGTGCATATGGCTGAATCATTCCTGCTCTCATTTGAATTCTACACATATTATAGGCTTACAAGGGCAGCCTGTCCTCATAGACAAACACAATCATTAATAAAGAAGAGCAGTTAGATGAGGAAAATAGTAGAGCCTGACGAAGACCAACCCAGCGCAGGATAATAAAGTCAGTGGGATTAGGCTTCTTCTAAATTAGTATAGTGCTGCTTTCAATTCCAAAAAATTCTGCCTGCTGACACCATCACTGTGGGTGTTTATTAAGTAATGATGCTGGCTCCAACCACAAATGGGTAAGCAAATTGTTTTTCCCCCTTCCTGTTTTTAATACTGTCCTAATAATAATGCAGTAGGCGTGAAATATAGAGTAGCAGCACTGGAGGATGAAGCAAAACACAAACTTGTGCAAATAGAACATAATTAAAAAGTACCTTCATCTTCCGGAGCTTCTGCGGCAAGATCTGCAACAATGTCATCAACGTTATCGGGGACAATATTGCACTGCTCTCCCTGCAAAGAAACATTTTCAAGTGTTTAAATTGGCAGAGGAAACCATGCAATTGCAGGCGCTGGAATGGAAAATCAGCTGCCTGAATATGTACAAACAAGATCTGTGTCCCTGGAGTGTAACCTAGTGAAGGCCTAGTGAAGTCATGAGGTCCATTTTAAAATGTAAGTCTTGTGAAATAGCCCAGGAAGCTAAAGCCTCAAGGGTACCTAGGCCTCTCTTCTGAAGAATGAGAGCTGCTGAAACTTCTCTCTGGAGAAGTTTTCAAATAGGAGTCAGAAATGGCAAGCTAAGATGCAAAGGAGAATTTTGTAAAAGGCAAATGTGGTTTAAACTGCTGGCAAGGTGGGAATACGTCCAAAGTGATGATCTCATTAGTCATAATGCCAGATGTTACTGGGAGAGCATGTGGGGAATTATGGGGTTGTACTTGCCTTTCTGTTTGCCTGATGGAATGATCTCCCCTCTCCTCTCCCTATGCTGTTCTGAGGGTTCTCCAAACGCTCAGGGGCAGATTTGGAGAGGGGGAAGGGGGAAGGGGGACGGGGTCATTTTGCATTTGCAGGAATCCCTGTGCTGGCTTCTGCTAGCTCAGTGAGTTGGTTGACTACCGACCACAGTCGGAAGCAGTTATGCACACCCTGAAATCACCTGCATAGGAAATAAAGAGTAATCCAGTTCTCTGGTTTCCTCAGACCCAGTGCTGCTAAACTTTGGTGGGTCCTTGAAAAACGAGCCTCTAGGAGGAGTTCCAATCATACTCTTACGTATTGGCAAGAAGTGGTCATCCTTTCAAGCAAACTGATTGGGGCCAAAGCATCCCTTAACTGTGATTAAAGTGAAAGGTAGTGAATTTGCTCAGCTGGGCACTCTGGAGAGTCACTGTATGAACTGGTAGCTCCCTCTCAGTCACTTAACCATGATTAAGAAATTGGGACCCTCATGTCTCCACTGACCCAACATAGACAGAATGATCAATTCATAGCTTCTCTTTGATGTTTCTTATGCACCAGTTGAAAAATCTAGTAATGAACAAATTAGTTCTATGTTCCAGATTTATTATTAGATTTATCCACTCCCCCCCAATTGAATTTGTATTGCTGTTAGGAATGCCATACTGGTACCTTCCGTGCAATCCTTTCAATGACAACTCTGGCTACTGACTTAATGGATCCTCCTTCTGGGTCATAAAAGGGACTCTGGGGGTGGTCGAGGCTGGTGAGAGGCCTTATCTTCTCTTGAGGTACTGTTGGTTTGTTGGGTGACTGCAGCAGAAAGATATAGATATAGAAGAAACCCGTGATAAAAAATGTCACAGTGATTAGTGGACACTCAGCACAAAAAATAATAGCACTAGAATCAAGAAGTACTCTGAAAAGTTTTCAGTTGTACACTACTTCCATTACAACTGACCTCAGATTCTGAACTCTTTATCATGAGTATATATTTGTCATGACTGTCTATTTTTTATGGTTTTAGGTTTCTTTTTTTAAAAATGCACCTGCTGTTTCTTAAACACTGGGTTTTCTGGCAGTTTTTCTTGTACATTGTCTCTTGAAGACTGTACAAAAGACAATTAATAAATTAAAAACAACAGCCTGAAGCTAAAATGAAGACAAACTGGGAGCACATTAATTTATATATTTTGTGTCTTCAGCCACAAAGAGTCACTCACAGCAAATACTCTATAAAAATATGGAATCAAATCAAATTACAATATGAACTAATTTGACAGCAGCAATACCAGAACAAAAAAATTAAAGCAGAAAAGCCACCAGAATTGTAATAGGCATTGTCTTATAAAACCTACAAATTCAATTGGAAAGCATGGATGACTTCTACAAACCCACCCCATCTTCCGTTTCCACATTTCTGTAAAAATCGAAACACACTTCAAAATTTGAGCATAAATACATATTTGATATTCGTATTCCCTAACAAATATTGCTGCACTCAACTATTTCAAGACATCAACTGCACAAAAGGTTGTGCGACCCTAACACCTTACTAAAAATAAAAATCAATATAGCCAGAAAATAAACAGGGCAGTCTATTCAAATCCTAACTTTGTCTACACTTGCACATTTCTCATTAACTGCTCTCATACATATTCAGGAAGGTAAATATTTAATATAAAAATTGAATATCGCAGAAAACGTTGTGTTGGCTCCTAGCGAGTGTCCATGAACTCTGTCTGCCAGTACTCATAAATCATTTCCAGTTTACACAATGACTTCGGGTTGACTGATCTACAGACTAAAGCAAGTTCTTGCACTGTACTTAAAATAAAAAATAAAAAAAACCTTGCTTGCTTATTCTACCTTACACTTTGACATAAAAGGCAAAGTTCAAACAGAATGGCAAGAGCTTTCATTTGCCATCCCAATTTCAGTTCTCCCACCTATTTCTCTTGAGACTTTTGCCCTTCCTTTGTGGCTCCTGGAAAAGTCAGCAATGAAAACTTAGTATGGATGTCCTAAAGTTTTAAATGCAACATCATAAATAAACACAACTCCACTGAAATGACAATAGAGAAGGTATTTCAACTGTATGTTAATGGATGAATAAACATAATATTAGGCAGAAACCTAGTCCCTACTTTTTATTCCAAGGCACACTTTTTAGAGCAGGACACACACCCATACAAACTCCTGTAAAAATGATAACCAACTGGACTAAATTGGATTCTTGAATAGCTTGGACTTTTTGTCCATATGGCATCCAGATTTGGGGAGGAGTCTGTCAAGCCAAACCTAGTTACTTGTTTGCATGTGCATCTTTTAAATTCTGATCCACAGCAAACTGATTCTTGCTAGTCTTTTAGTACAGCTGAAGCTGAGTGCAACCCACCACTTATATATCAGATACTCAACAACCTCTCTCCCACCCAGATTTGTTCACTCATTTCTTCTTCATTTAAGGAAAGACTCTAGGTGATATTGTTGTCTGTTTTCTGAATTAGAAATAATATAGGAAGCTGCTTATACTGAGCCAGATCCGTGGTCCAAATAGTAGGGGCATGCACTGACCACAAGATTCATTTCAAACCCCCAACTTAGCTCTTCAGCAAGAACAACCTTCCTTGGTCTCCGTGCTTCATAGGCTGCCTGATTCTGATCAGGGTTCACCTGAGTCTGCTCCATTCACTACCGCTGCCTTCAGTATTGGGAAATAAAATAATGGTTACAATGGTACCTCGGGTTGAGTACTTAATTCGTTCCGGAGGTCCGTTCTTAACCTGAAGCACCACTTTAGCTAATGGGGCCTCCCGCTGCTGCCGCGCTGCCGGAGCATGATTTCTGTTCTTATCCTGAAGCAAAGTTCTTAACCTGAAGCACTATTTCTGGGTTAGCGGAGTCTGTAACCTGAAGCGTATGTAACCTGAGGTGTATGTAACCTGAGGTACCACTGTATATCCCCCACCCTTTCAACAGAAGTGGATGAAATGTGCAGGTAGTCTACGGAAACATTTTTGTTGGCAAAAGAGCCACATACCCTTGGAAACTTTCTCAAGGCTCTGTGCCAGAAGTGGCCAAACCAGAAGTAGGTGGGGCCAAAGCCCCATACACACCTCATTCATGCTAACACACACACACACACACACACACACACACACACACACCTTTAAACATGCAGACACATACAGTATTCATCTATTCATTCTCTTTCTCATTCTCCATTCCTCCCCCTCAAAAAAAGAACCATCTCAGACCCCCCTGTATAATAGCATTAGAATTGTCTTTAAAAGGAGCCTCACTGTTTGAAGAAATTCCAGTGCAATTCTTCCCTTTTGGGTGTCTCACAGCCCCCCTTATTTTTTGCCATGCTCCTGTTTCCAGCGCTGGAGAGGCTGGGGGGGGGAGGTAATGGCCTCAGGAAATGGTACCGTGGAGGCAAAGCTAATGGGAGTGAGGCTTGAGAACAGGGGCAGAAAACTGAACAGAGAAGTTGTGTGTGCCTCATAAGGCCACAATTTCCTTTAAAAACCATAGCCATTTTTTTTAAAAAAACCCACAACTTTAAAGCACAATGGGGGGGGGGGGAGATCCACCTGAATATATACTATAAATTGGCTTTTATCATTTAGCTTCTGCTCATTCTATAACTCCAGACGTTTCGCATTGCAAGCTTCCTTAAAAGCCTCTTTTGCAGCATGACTGTAGCATGCAGGCAGGGGGCAGAAGCACATAAAGAACAGGGACCCTTTGCTTTGTCTAGGAAACTATGAGAAATATCTGGCTAAAGGCTTCGCTGCCACGATCAGTTCAGATTCATCTACTAGGAACCTGCAGCGGGCTTTTTTATTTCTACGACAGATAATTTTTACTGTTTTTATTAGTTCGGCAGTCAGTTTAAAAAAACCCCACCCCATTCCACAGAATTGTCAGAAGACAAGCAATATGCAGCTGGATTTTATTTTAAGAAACTTGATGGATAAGCAAGGGGACTGATTTACATCATGGAATCAAAAAGAACAACAGAAGATTATCAGGACTGTATTTCAGCATTATATAGGCAATAACCAGCTCTAGACTAAAACTGTGCTGAACTGCACCTATTATTCTCATGAAACCCTTTGCTCCTTACAGAAGAGGTTTCCCAACCTTGGCCTCTTTCATGGAGAATGGGATAATTTTTGTGAAATTTTGTGGGTAAGGATGGTTGCTCTTAACTTACTAGGTAATACCTCAGAGACCGTCGCTTACACTTGGAAGAGTGCAGAAATCTTTTCACAAAGGCTTCCATCCTGACAGCACTTCCTAGAATGCCCATTGTGTCATGTGGCCACATACATGGGCATTCCGGAAAGTGATGCCAGACTTGAAGTTTGTATTTAAAGTAGGGAAGGGGAAGAAATTTGATTCAGTTTCCATTTACCAGCAATTCTCACTTTCCATTTTAGGGTGATGGGGTGGGGTGGGGCGGAACACCCTGAATTTCCATAACAATATGAGAATGGAAATACAGCCCTCCTTCAAAATCCACCCTTTTCTGAATTTTGTGATGCCGTTCTTCTACCAAGCAATGTCACAGGAATGCGTATATTAGGGGCAAAAGTGCATAAAAATGAATATAGTAGTGAAAGTAACACACACAAATGCACTATATTGGGAGAAATCACTTGCAAAAATGTGCTCATTAGTGAAAACTGCATACAAAAATGCGTTAAATAGGAAAAAGTCACACAAAAATGTTGAAGAACTTTCATAGGTTTCTTCTTAGGAAATTGTTGCAAAAATTTAAGATGGGAAAAATTAAAAACAGATAGAAACGGTCAGATCCTTCAATTCCTAGTCAGGAGAGTCTCACACGATTGCAAATGAATGTGGGGTGTTTAAAAGTCTGAAGCAGAAAAAGAGCCTTCAGCCACCAAGGTCTGTTAATAATAGAATGGGTTCTGTATCAACTTCTTATTTCTAAAATTTATATCCTATATGAAGCCCAAATTGATTACTGGAAGCATTCTACTTTATTAAAAATAAAATAAAATAGGGTTGCTTTCGTCCTCCTCCTCCAACACACATACCTCTTTAAGGTAAATTCAGTCTGATTGACACTTCGCCACCCCACCCTGGCAAATGCTCATCAATCAGAACTAACAGAGATTGGTTCAGTAGAATTATAAGAAATACAGATGTATCTCTCTGGATGCGGTCCCCTGCTGCAAATACAACCAATCCATAGGACTCAGCCAGCAAACCCAACTCAAGGATTCGTGTAATGATAACTTTGTTTCAGTGTCAAAAGTTAATACAAACAAATCAATTAGTTAGAGAGCAATAGGCCTCCAGCATCAATGTCATTGTTTAGTATATGATACAGTCAGATATGTTAAGATAGGAAAATGCATCTAGAGTCGTACCTTGGTTCTCGAACGCCTTGTGACTCAAACGTTTTGGCTCCCGAATGCCATAAACCCGGAAGTAAGTGTTCCGGTTTGCAAACGTTTTTTGGAAGCTGAACGTCTGATGGGGGTTCCGCGGCTTCCAATTGAGTGCAGGAAGTTCCTGCAGCCAATTGGAAGCCGTGCCTTGGTTGTCGGAAGACTTCTGGAATGGATTCCGTTCGAGAACCAAGGCACGACTGTATTTATTTATTTTTTGATGAATTTCCAAATTGGTTTGTCCTCATTATTTTCGACCCAAGGGTCTGTTTTAAAGGGTAACAACAAACTGTTATGCTAGTTCACAAGTGTGCTGGTTCTGGTTTCTGCTGACATCTTCATTAATGACCGTGAAAGAAAGTAAACAATGCCTTGTGTAAT